TTCAAATTAATATATAGATTATCATTTATATTGAATGGTGTGTGTTGAGGAAACCACTATTTAATCTTTCATCAATTTCGTTGTCTCGAGCATTGCGAGAATGGCGCACGTCAACATGTTGCTCACTGTTAATGTTCAACTGACGTCATTTTTTATAATATTTCTCAACTTCCTACAGATTTGATGAGGACCGATCATCCCAAGCACCTATCAAGTTACAACATTTTGTCTGTTATCCCTCATCCTCGAGTCAATCCACCAGAGCTTTTCATTGTCTTTATGAGGGCCTGTTCGATGGCCTAATCAGACCAAATTCCACACCAGAACTTGTCTGTACGTCTTGTAGTGAAATTTCCGATCTTTGTGAATTTTTTGTGTTCTTCAATATCAATCTTGTATTTCAATTCATATTCAGCATGTCTTGTATAGATGGGCGCACTTGGCGTGGAAAAATGACCCGCTGCATGGAAGATCTGTAGAGTGATTGTAATTGGAAGATCTTATTTGCCTGATCTTTCAGCCTCAATAAACTGTTAACTATGTTAAACTGTTTTATTTTGGTTTCAAGTATTGTACCCAAAGCTTAGCTTTAATGTGTATGTATAAACATTTGACAGCTTTGGGAAGAGTAGTTTTGCCGTTGAAGGTATATTTTGAAGGTTTGTTTTTCGGCATGTAAACCTTTATTTATTAAAACGAGTTCGCAAAGCATGATCAGGCCATGGGAACGGTTGCTTTATGGGGTTTTTTGTTAAGAACGGGTTTTTTGTATTTTTGACCCTCAAAACATACAATTTTACAATGTATCTCTAAACCATTTTGTAGAGCTTAAAAACAAATTATTTAGTACATTAAAATGTTTTTTACAGTTATTGGTTACGGAGAATATTAAAAAATTTAAATTAAAAAACCTCAAGTTATTCCAATAGTGAAGATTTTGTATTATTGTTTTTTCCTTATTTAAAGACACATTTTTATAAAATTGGGTAAATTTATTTGTTTCTTATCATACTATTATTATTTTATATACTATATTACCCTCCCTGTAGCAGCAAACCTAGGTACCAGTTAAACATAATGTTATTTAAATAGGTTTGTGAAAATCAAATCAAGCAAATGGAAATTCGCTTAGTCTGCAGGTTTGCTGAGGTGGGGGTATTTTTATTCATACTTTCATTTATTTCCTATTAATAGCAAATAAACTGGCATACTCTCTAAATCAATACGGTGTTTGCTTCAAACAACTATATTGTGGAAATATTGAAAAAACCACAATTTTTATACGTGTTTGGAAAATTTATTTATTTTGATGGTCTGTATTTTGACCATTATTTACGCTACATACTTGCTGTTGGGCTTAAACTGCCACAAATTTATTCTTCTTTAATGTAATGATATATAAAATTTTCGGTAAAATCAAGGGTTCGCAAGATTGAGTGAAAAACAATAGGAATTGCCATATTTTTGCTATTTCATTAACAAGTGGCGCGCCCCGCGGCGAGCGGCAGTATCTCGAGGTGGATAACTTGAATTTTATGTTATGGGCCCAATACCAACAACATATCCAAAAATCAGAACTACCCGACCTTTTGCATACCAAAATGTCTTATTTTACTGGACTATTACCCAATTATAATGAGCTTCGAGGCAGGTCCGTGAAGTTGGCGTACCCATATTAGCGTATCCACTTTTGTTCATACCAATCGTTAGTTCATCGTTAGTTCTCGATAGTTCCCAAATTTTTTTCTCAAAATATAAAAAAGTTATAGCCGATATAAGTGGCTAACTTCACACTTCCAGTTTTTAGCGCGCGCCGTTTTCTGATGAGAAATGTTTACATCTATATATAATCGTTAGTTCTTCGTTAGTCCTCGATAGTTCTCCGATATTTTCGTTAGTTCTCAAAGAATAAAAAAGTTTCGAGGCATACAAAGTGTACGCCAACTTCACAATTACAGAATTTCCAGCGGGCACCGTTTTCTGACTCTAAATGCTTATATCTATGTACCAATCGTTAGTTATTCGTTAGTTCTCCATAGTTCTTCATTATTTTTGTTAGTTTTCAAAAAATATAAAAGCTGGGAGGCATACAAAGTGGGTACGCTAACTTCACAATCATAGAATTTTCAGCGGACACAGTTTTCTGAATAAAATTGCTTATATCTATATACCAATCGTTTCTTCGTTGTTAGTTCTCTATAGCTCTCTAACATAGATGTTAGATCTTTAAAAACAAAAAAAGGTTATAAGGAATACAAAGTGGGTGCTCTAACTTCACAATTATAGAATTTCCAGTGGACACCGTTTTCTGACTATAAATGCCTATATCTATATACTGATCGTTAGTTCTTCGTTAGTTCTCGATAGTTCTCAAATATCTACACTCAACTATTCTTTCAAACATTTACAGCATGGTTCTTAAACAGTTTAGAAATACGTTCAAAATTAAATGTGTTAGATTGTTAAATTATACCGAGAATAAATATAACTTATGATAAATTAGTTATAATAAAATAATTATTTAAAATTTAGTTTAATGAATTGCAAAAAGGGGTTTAATCCAAGTTCCATGCCTATAGCCGGCTCCAGACATGTGCCATACCCACGCCAAGTACAGGACAGCGACTTGCCGAATCGCGAGTAGTGTGGCAGCAAATGCTCAAATTTTTCTGTTCATTGCGGGTATTTTTGCACACATCAAAGTGAACGAATATTTTTGCCATTCCCGAAACGAACAGTTGCTGGGAAAACAACATATGTGTGTTTTTTATTTTTTAATAACTAGCAATAATATTGGGGAACTAACAAGAAATAAAGAAGAACTAACAATTGGTATATAAGTATATATAAGCATTTTTAGTCAGAAAACAGTGCCCGCTGGAAATTTTAAAATTTGTGAAGTTAGCGTAGCCACTTTGTATGCCTCGTAACAATTTTATTGTTTGAGAACTAACAAAAATATTGGAGAACTATTGAGAACTAACAAAGAACTAGCGATTGGTATATAGATATAAGTATTTTTAGTCAGAAAACGGTGCCCACTGGAAATTGTATAGTTGTGAAGTTAGCGTACCCACTTTGTATGACTCATAACTTTTTTATTTTTTGGGAACTAACGAAAATATTGGAGAACTATCGAGAACTAACAAAGAACTAATGATTGGTATATAGATATAAGCATTTTTAGTCAGAAAACAGTGCCCGCTGGAAATTTTAAAATTTGTGAAGTTAGCGTAGCCACTTTGTATGCCTCGTAACAATTTTATTTTTTGAGAACTAACAAAAATATTGGAGAACTATTGAGAACTAACAAAGAACTAGCGATTGGTATATAGATATAAGTATTTTTAGTCAGAAAACGGTGCCCACTGGAAATTGTATAATTGTGAAGTTAGCCACTTTGTATGACTCGTAACTTTTTTATTTTTTGAGAACTAACGAAAATATTGGAGAACTATCAAGGACTAACGAAGAACTAACAATTGCAATATAGATGTGAACATTTCTCATCAGAAAACGGTTCGCGCTAGAAACCGGAAGTGTCAAGTTAGCGTACCCAGTTATTATCGGCTGTAACTTTTTTTTATTTTGAGAAAAAAATTTGGGAACTATCGAGAACTAACGGAACTAACGATGAACTACGATAGGTATGAACAAAAGTGGATACGCTAATATGGGTACGCCAACTTCACGGACCTCTTCGAGGCATTATAATGTCAAATTTCAAGACATTTTGCTGATATCTGCATTATCTATATCTATAAAAGAGGAAGTATGTATGTATGTATGTATGTATATACCCTATGGACTCTGAAACCTCTGAAACTCCGACCAGAAGGGAGAGTAGACACTACAGTATATTACACTTTTTGGAGTCAAAAGTTAGCTTTCACTTTGGATGTTGAGGTTAAGCCGTTTTTAGCGAATTTCCCATATAGGGAATAAGCTATTAGGTCTCATAGTAAGACTTGGATCCAGGACCGATTTACTTTTTTGCTTTGAGGACCCCAGAGGCCAAAAACACCATCCGTTCAAATTCATATATTATATACATATATATATATAGGGTAATTGCAAATGAAATGGACAAACTCTATATTAAATTAAATTATTAAATAGGTACCAACTGTCTTATTTCATTTTTAGCGAATTTCCCACTTAGGGAATAAGCTATTACCGTAGTACTCATTTAAGACCTGGAGGCGGAGGAACTGATTTCCTTTTTCGTTTCGAAACGTGTAAACCTACATTTTTTTTTAACGAGTTCACGAACCAGCATGATCGGACAATGGGAACAGGGGTTTCCTTAAAAACATAAACTTTTGCAATTTCTTTCCCGACCATTTTGTAGAGCTAAAAAAAAACAACAAATAATTTAGTATAATGGAGCGTTGTTGTATACGGTTAAAGAAAAAATTCCAAAAAAGGGTAAGTTTTAAATAATCATGCTATTCTTTTCTTATAGATAGTAGGCTAAATATACTGCTCTAGCTTGTCTATGGACATAGTTTAATGACATTTTGAAAAGTTGTTTACTACATACTAAGCTATCAATATTTCAATAAAAACAATACGTTATCTTCCCTGTTGCAGCAAACCTAAGTACTCATTAAAATTAATGATATTTAAAAAGGAAATAATTCCGAGAATTTTAAGGAAAAAATTTATCGGAATTCCAGCCAAATAAATGGAAATTTGCTTAGTCTGCAGGTTTGCTGTGGTGGGGGTATTTTGCTGATTGCCCTATACTATTAAGACATTGAGTCATGAATAAAGACTGTGTGTAAAATTACTGGGGGTGCAATTCACCTATAAACTTTTGAAATTAGAGATGGTTCCCAAAAACATTTTTCTATCAGCTAAAAAATTTCCACCAAATACATGATATGTATTCTCAAATGAATGTGCTGATAAAATTAATGAATGTTTGTTTATAGCTTACAAAATGAAAATCCTAAAACTGTACCTGAGTGATTTTTTTAGAAATTGTATGTGTTTAGGTCTACAAATGGAGCAGATATGAATAAGAACACAGGACTTGAGGCAAATCCTGGAGAAGAACTTGTGGAAAGTTCAGAAACAATGTAAGCTCATTCAAACCTAATCTCCTTTTTCATCTTCCCTTGTGGCACTAGCTTTAGCTTGTTGGACCACTAGTGTATATTTATTATTTAATAATTTATTTTTGTAAAAAAAAAAACTACCGACTTCAAACGCTCTAAAAAGAATGAAATAATTTAAATAAAATAAACTTTTGTAATAGTCAAGCTTAAGTATTGTAAGTGGCTCTATGATGATTTTTGACACAACATACTCAAAATTTAAAAGTATGTCCAGGTTGTCCACCCACATTGCAGGCGGTTATCTAGGCCTATAACTAAAGGTGTTAATCTTCATGTTCTTTTTCTTCAGAGTTATGCGTTAGGTGTTATTTTATCATTGTAACCCATCTTTGGCAGATACCTTCATAAAGTTTTTTTTTGTAAATAAGATAATAAATTATAATCTTATAGTGGTATTAAAGAGTATCTTTAAAAAAATTATGATGCATTTAAATGTTTTTAACTTGGAAAAGTAATGTTTTAATACTAAACTAGCTTCTTTTCCCTATCAAAATATTTTTTTTCATATTCGTATAGAAAATCTTTGTGTGTTAGTTTCATAATACATTCACTATGAAACAAACATAAAATAAAAATAGTACAAGTAAATACTTCCTTTGATATCTAAACAAAACAGTTCATGTTTTTATATATTTATGTTATCCAGCTATGTTTATTGATTTACAAAATACACTCCCTATCTTTTATTTTATTCATATTTTTGCAGTGAGACCCGACTTGAAATACACGAGCTTGACTATTTAAAAAGTTTACTTTATAAAAATTATTTTATTCTTTTTAGAGCGTTTGAAGTTGGTTGTTTTTTTTTTTACAAAAATAAATTATTTCACAATTTCTAGTGACTGTATATTTTGTTATACAGGGTGTTTTTTTTTAAACTTGCATCTTTATTTATGTAAAAACCGCAATAGATAGAAATATTCAGTTTGCGGGAATCATCTATTGACGTAGGGGGCACAATTTTTTTGAATTCATTGTTACATTCACATTCCCCCCCTTCCCCCCCTGCCCCCAACTTATTTTTTTAAATAGCAAGGTACCCCTTGTGACATATCAAATGAAAGAGCATGAAAAAAGAAAATGTTTGGTGAAAAAAATTGAAAATCGGCTAATGAATTTGTGAGATAATCCCCCCCCCTTTTCCCCTACCCATAACTTTTTTTTTAAATAGCAAGGTACCCCCCCTTGTGACATATCAAATAAAAAATAAATTTCACCAAAAATTTTCTTTTTTTATGCTCTTTCATTTGATATGTCACAAGGGGTACCTTGCTATTAAAAAAAAAATAAGTTGGGGCAAAATAAAAATAAGTTAGGGCCTACCTAATAAAGGGGGGAATGTGAATGTAACAATGAATTCAAAAAAATTGTGCCCCCTACGTCAATAGATGATTAGGCTTAGTTAAACTAGATGTTAAAATAATCACTCACTTTCCTTTGAACTAATGTCGAGGTGCGTTTTTTGGCTGCCAAGTCTCGAATTTTCTTTAAGACCATAAATTGCGGTAAAGAGCATTCAGATTGATTTTCGTACCAGTTCATTGCCGTCTCTAATGCAGTAAACGCCTCAGCATGGGATGGTCCAGAATCAAAAGTTTCTTCTTCTTCACTGCTGTCATCAGATTAGTTTTCCTCAGTGACGACGGAAAGAATCTCATCTTCATTATAAATTTGGTATCCTGGATCATTCTTGTCACTGTTGATCCACTCGGTTGCATCAGCCACGTCACACTCCTCAAACCCAGGAATAGCCTGACAAAGATCGACAATATCATTGACGATCTCAGAGTCTTCTTCTTCAATAAAGTTTTCATTTCCAACTTCATTGTTTAAAGGCTTAGGCCATAGCTTATTTCATTCATTCGCGAGATTGCCCCTGTTACACTTGCCCAAGAATCAACCAGAATATAACAACAGTCCTTCAGGTTTAACTTCTTAGTGAACGCAATCACACTTTCTTCATCTCTCTCTGCTAATAAGAGTCGCCGAAGCAATTCTTTCCTGTACATTCTCTTCATTTTCGAGATAATACCCTGATCCATTGGCTGAAGGAGGGCTGTTACATTTGGTGGAAGGAATATAACCATGAAGTCTTCATCAATGCTCTTCAAAGTGTCAATGTCAGGATGAGTCTTTTCCTGTTTTTGATTCTTTCTCTCTGAACGTTTTTACTTCTGGAATAAATCTGTCCGAGTACCAATCAAGAAAAATATCAGATGACATCCAAGAGCTTTTTTGTGCCCTGTAAGTTACTGGTGGACATGTCACATTTTTGAAACAACGGGCTTTCATACTTTTACCAATAAGCAGCAATGGAAGAGAGTGAGTACCACTTGCATTTGCACAAACCATAGCTGTTACCCTGTCTTTGCTCACTTTGTATCCGGGAGCTCGATTTTCATTTTGGAATGCAAGATATTTTCTCGGCAATGAGCGCCAATTTACACTGGTCTCATCAGCATTATAAACATCATCCCTTGAAAACCCCATATCAGTTACAGTATCTTAAATTGTGTTTACGAATGCTTCTGCAGCCCATAGTGTCACCAGATAAGCTTTCCCCTTGAACATCGAGTTGCCTTATTCCGTGCCGTTGCTTAAACTTACTCAGCCAGCCACTGCTAGCCTTAAAATCAATAGGCCCGTTGAGTTTTACATTGAATTCAAGAGCCTTTTCACAAAGAAGTCGACCCGATATTGGTTCACCCAAGCTACTTCTTTGTGTGGACCACAAATTACAGTGCATCATCGAGAGCCTCATTATTGGCTGTTTTTAAGGTTTTCCTATTTTTAGGCCCTTCATTACTGTCTTGTTTACAAGAGTATTGCATTATGGCATTTTGTTTGTTTTTAAAGTCAGTAATTGTTGACTTACCTACACCATACTCTCTGGCTAACGACGCACCACTTTCACCTTTCTTAAGTCTTTCAATGATTTCAATTTTCTTTTCAATGTTTAAAGTGTTATCTTTCAGTTTCAGGGACGTTTTTTATGACATTTTAGTTTACTTTATTCGGTCACTGTTATCACAAACAATCCTAACACTATACTGATGCTGTACGTAGTCTATAACTAAGATACTGTACCAAACATTAGATGTACACTAACACGTTATACACGTTCCAATAAACAACACATGCAGTATTCTGAGACAACGGAGAGCGACTGAGTGCAGAAACAGTAGTGTGGAGTATTGCAGAATGTAGTGTCATGAGTGGGGGAGGAGAGAGGTCATTGACTTAGTTTGAGCGCATTCGTATAGCACGTTCAATGAAGGACGTCGTCGTTGGCTGTGTAGCTCGTTCGGTGAAGGATCAACGCTCCCACTCACCGGCCGCGTTAAACGGCCTCCACGGCGGAATTGCGGCGTTCGGATTAGTGGACGTTCAGATTACGGGGGTTCGGTTTAAAGAGGTTCTAATGTACAGTGTGGGGCAGGGAGGTATCCCTAATTTTGAAGATACATTAAAAGACAATTAAAAATATTAGTACCAAACTGTATATTGGGATTCAAAGGTTACATCTAGGAGTTTATTTTAATATAACTTTACTTGGTTTTAACCCGTACATCTTGAAAATGCTGTCCCTCATTGTCAATTCACTGCTGTAATCTGGTTCTGGAGTTCATCATAACTCTGTGAAGCATTTGTTGTGGAATGAGGCCAACTAAAAGGTGAATTGTATCCTTCAAGGCATCTAGGGTTCTCTCGTGAACTGCCCTAAGCTTAGCATCACTCCAATATAACATATTCCTCTTACCGCTCCAGAAACATGGAAGGGTGCCTCGTCACCAATCAAAAGCCGAGCATCATGAGGCAGGCCCGCAGTTAAGATTTCACATGCCTGCATTCGTTGTTGCCAGGTCCGTTGTTGATTTCATGAGCAACTACCATTTTGTAAAGATGGAGGTGTAGGTCATCATGGAGTGTACGTTTACAAGGCACAGTACGATAAGACAAAGTCAGTGCGGTTGCATGCTGTTTTATTACCGTACAGTATATAGATTAATGAGAATTCATTAGTTTTGATTCAAAGTATATTATTTAATCCAGATACAGTTATAAAGCAAGAACCTTCAAAATATTTACAATTCAAAGTCAATCAACCAACAGATGTTAATTATAACATCTGCTTAATATTACAACATCTCTCCTTTTTAGTTGCCCTCGTATCTTTTCACAGGTTTCACTATTCTTCCAAACCTTGTTCTAACTTCTTCATGAGATTGGAGACTTGGTTGTGAATAAGAAGGATTGTTATTGTTTACAAACAACCTTGTGTTGAAAGTTGGTGTACTGGTATTTCTAGAGACTTGTCTTGGTGCTTTCTGATTACTCTGATTAGTGTTGTTGGTTTGAGAGGTAGGGGTTTTAAGTAAGCTCCGTTCATTGTTTAAGTCTATAGACGTTTTCGGAGACTGATCGTTATTTTTAGAGAAAGGAAGTGGAGTAATACTTGCTGATTGTTCAGGACTGGTTTGGCTTTTGTACGGAATCAAGTGGTATCTGTTTCGGCGGACTGTGTTTCTTTCAGTATTTACCCAATAAGATCTTGGCTCATTGGCTAGGTTTGTTATTGTATCCTGACGTTTTAGATCTTTGATCCACACTTTTTGTCCTCGTTGCAACTGGGGTAAATTCCTGGTACCGTGATGCTTATCATATTGATTTTTGTAGGAATCTCTGTATTTTTCCTCCCTCTTCTTGAAACTGGATAAGTCAGGTCTTTCAGTAAGCTTCTGTGGCAATACAGGTAAATTATCTCGTAACCTCCTGTTGAACAAAAGTTGGGCTGGGCTAAGCCCGTTGGCTGTAAGGGGTGTGTTCCTGTAGGATAGGAGTGCAAGGTAAGGGTCTTCTTTGTTCTTTCGTAAGACACTTTTAGCTATTTTTACAGCAGCTTCTGCAGAGCCGTTACTTTGATGATGCCCGGGACTGCTTGTTGTTAGTTTGAAGTTGTACTTTTGTGCAAAAACTTTAAACTCAGAATTTTCTAAGCATGTCCGCTGGGAAGCAAACTGAGTTCCACAGTCTGATCTAAGCTCGACAGGTATTCCGTGGCGACAAAAAATTGATTTGCATTTCTCTATTATCTCACTTGTAGTTAATGTTTTTAATGTTGCTATTTCAAAGTATCGACTGTAACAGTCTGTCATTACTAGAAACCAAGTCCCATCAATTTTGAATAAATCGATGCATGCTTTCTCCCATGGACGAGAAGGAATTTCAGATGTCATTAGTGGTTCATGATGCTGGGATCTAAATTCTGTGCATTTAGGACACTCATTAACTGTTCGTTCTATGTCCGAAGATATACCTGGCCACCACATGCTGTGACTTGCTCTAAGTCGGCATTTACTGATTCCAAAATGTCCGGAATGAATTCTATTTAGCATATCAAGTCTTAGGTCACTAGGGATAATGAGTCTATCTCCTTTCAGCAAAACACCTTCACAGAAAGAAATTTCGTGGCGGACTGGGAAGTAAGGTTTTAATGCATTAGGCAATTTGGATTTGTCCGGCCATTCAGAGGAGCAAAATTGCTGAATTCTTCGGAGAATCGGGCATGATTTTTGTGCATCACATATTTTCTGGATTATAGCATCGGTTGTACCCAAATTTGTAATTACCGAACTAACAGCAAATTCAACTTCTTTTTCTAAGTCGTATGATTCTTTAGAAGGCAGAGGGCTTCTTGAAAGACAGTCGGCTGTCGCAAGATGTTTTCCTGGAGTGTATGTAACTCTATAGGAGTATCTCATAAGTCTCAGACGTAGTCTCTGAATACGGGGTGTTAGGTCATTCAAATCTTTGTTTGTTAGAATACTAACGAGAGGTTTGTGGTCTGTTTCAATGATTATGTCTTTGCCAATTATGTATTGTTTTAGTTTATCACAGCTCCAGGTTACAGCAAGGGCTTCTCTTTCTATATTGGAGTAGTTTTTTTCGCTCTCAGTAAGTGTTCTTGAGATGTATGAAATAGGTTTCCATTTGTTGTCTACTTGTTGCTGAAAGAGTACTCCACCAAGACCTGTTTGAGATGAGTCAGCAGACACCATGGTAGGGCGGCTAGAATCATAGAACGCCAGTTGGGGAGCGGAAGCAAGAAGTGACTTTATCTCTTCAAAGGCTATATTTTGTGTTTTGCCCCAAACAAATTCATTTCTTGTACTTAAAAGGTCTGTAATTGGTTTAAGTATTTGACTTTTATTTGGAATATATTTTCCTACAAAATTTACCATTCCAATAAATCTTTGCACACCTGCTATGTTAGTAGGAGGAGGCAATTTTGTTATGGCTTCCACCTTTGATTCATCAATTTTGATACCATCCCTTGATAATTGGTGGCCTAAAAATGTGAGAGACGTTTGTGAAAACTGGCACTTGCCTTTATTTAGAGTAAAGCCTGCATTTTGAAGCTTTCCAAGTACTTCTTCAAGAGCATGATCGTGTTCTTCTTTGGTTTTTCCCCAAACAATGATATCATCCATATGAGCGACTGCATTCTTTTGTCCATTGAGGGTCTTGTTCACTAACTGTTGGAAAATCTCTGGTGCTGAACTTATACCAAAAGGCAATTTTAAAAACTTGAAACGACCGAATGGCGTCAAGAAAGTGGTCAAATCTTGTGATGTCTCATCCAAACTGACTTGCCAGAATCCATGGTTGGCGTCTAATTTTGAATATAGTGTTGCTCCAGAGATTTGAGCTAGAGTTACATCAACTGGTTGGATAGGATAGTATCTTCGCTTTACACTCCTGTTTAATTTTGATAGGTCTACACAAATGCGAACTTTATTGGAATCTTTCTTGGGAACAACAACCATTGGAGCACACCAATCTGTTGCATGGTGGACTTCAGCTATGACTCCCATGGAGATCATGTTTTTCAATTCTTCTTTTGTAGCCTGCCACAGAGGCAAGGGGATCCGACGAGGGGCATTGATAGCATAAGGAACGACATTATCTTTTAGTTCTACTTTATACTTTTCAGTAACATTCCCTAAGCCATTGAAAAGTTTTGGGTAATTAGCGAACCACGAGTTAGAACTTATTTCATTTATTCTAGATACAAGCTGAAGCTTTTCAATTGCTGGTTTGCCTAAAAGAGGAACAGAAGTCCCTTTAGAAACATATATTGTTTCATAGCATGTTGTATTCTTGTATGACATTTTGACAGTAGCCATCCCTAAAATTGACAGATCTTGCCCATTAGCCCCTTTAAACTGTTTAAGGGTAGGCGACAATCTAATTCTTCTGTTTAATTTAATGTCTGATGGCACGACTGTTACATCTGCTCCTGTATCTATTTTGAATGCAACACTGTCACTGTCATTGATATTTAATAATACTGTCCATGGATCAGTAGATGAATAAATTTGGCTTGAAGTCACCGAACCAATAAAGTCTTGTGATTCAGGGTTTAGATTGTCAATTGATTTAAAATCGTCAGTTTCAACATGGTTTACGTTTTTTGATCGACAAACTTTTGAGAAATGTCCAACTTTACCACAGAGTTTACATGTGTGGTTTCTAGCAGGGCACATATACTTTTGATGAGATGGAGTCAAACCACACCAAAAACAAGATTTGATATTTTTATGAATGGCTTTAGCATTACTGGGTTTGTTAGGAAAAGTATCATCATGTGAACTAAATTGATTAGTACTTTGGTTTGCATGGGAATGGTTGGAAAAGTTAGGATTCATTTTAGTGATTGTGTCTACTTCAGAGTGTGATAGTTCATGCTTTTGCTTCTTTAACTCCTCAGACTTCCGAACAGTGTTTACAGCAAAGTCAAGTTTTAGGTCATTTTCCAACTGAAGACGGTCGCTAAGGGGTTCGTCATGCATACCAATTATCAAGACCATTAAAATCATTTCCTCTTCAATCTGTCCCCACTCACAACTTTTTGCTAGAGAATGAAGAGCAGTTACAAAGTCTTCTATAGACTCTGTTGATCCTTGTTTACGCTTTAAAAATTTAGCTCTTTCAAAAATTATATTCTTTTTTGGAATGAAATACTGTTCAAACTTATTCAAAACAACATTGTAATTGTTGATATCTGATTCATTTAGTTTAAATGAATCGAGTATTTGTTCTCCCTTTTCTCCCATGCAATAAATAAGCATATCTACCTGTTTTATGCCGCTGGCTTCTTTAAGGCCGCTCAATGAATGGTATCTTCCAAAACGTTTTTTCCATCTTGGCCATTCACTGGGGTTGAATGTAAAAGGTTCTGGTGGTTTCACATTTAGGGAAATTGCAGCTTCATGAGGCACATTAAGGGAAGCATTAGGTTCATTCGACGACTGCGCCATGTTTTATTACCGTACAGTATATAGATTAATGAGAATTCATTAGTTTTGATTCAAAGTATATTATTTAATCCAGATACAGTTATAAAGCAAGAACCTTCAAAATATTTACAATTCAAAGTCAATCAACCAACAGATGTTAATTATAACATCTGCTTAATATTACAACACATGCTTACAAGCACAACGTTGAGGAGACTGCAAAATTGATATTCTGATAAGGTTAATGTTATCAGGAGTTCGGACGGTTCTTTGAGCTTCAAATATCCTTTGCAATACACCACCTCATACACGGGAGGTGCTTAACCCACATCAAAATGTAACAGCGTAGCAGCAGGCAATTCGATAACAAGTTTACAGCACACGCTGCACAAAAACAATAGACTCATTTTGAAAAAATATGTGTCGCCTGCAAAAGCACATTGCTCACTCTACCAAGCCATGTCTACTACTGACAGTGCTATTATTAGAAAACCCCAAAGAAACAGAGTCATTTGAGACTAACCCCACTCCTCTAGCACACTCCCACTACTCACAGTGGCACCTTAAAATTAGGTAAAAGTAGGTCCCTGCCCCACCCTGTACAAATTTGACAGCCATGATAAAATTTGTATTTTCATGATAGAATGTAAAGAGGGGTTGCGGTACTAAGCTAAGTAAAACTCACAAAAAATTATTTTAGTGATATGTTTTAGTTTTCCGAGCTGTTTGAATCTTTTTCAGATAAGATATCTGTGTGTTTTAAATTGAAAAACCTTACAGTTCATGTGGGGTGCCAGATTCCATTTTACATGTAATATGTTGTGAGATTCTTTAATTTTACTTCAGTATAAAATATGCAGATTGCTATATTTCTAGCTCAAGAAAGAGGCAGGTGTTGATATCCTATGACGGCCCATTCGCTGATTTTACTGGCGAAGATATTTTTTCTGGGGAAGAATTTGGTGTTGATTCTGCTTCTAGTAAGATCCCATTCACTAAAGATAAGAAGCTTAATCCTATAGGTAGGTAATAATATGTTGATAGATCCTAGACATTCATTGGTAGTTGCCAAAATGTCATATGCAATTGTTAATTTATCATTCAAAATGTCAATTTATTATTTATGATGTTGTTCTCCTCAAAGTAAATAGGTACAGTAAAGCGCCAAAAATCCGAACCGTTCTTGAGGGTTTTAAAATATTGAATTATCAGAAATCAGAATCATCAGAAAATCTTTATTGTTTCGTTGATTTACATAGCTTACACACAGAGTAAAACTAAAAATAACTTATATTAACTAACTTACACACTTGTAAGGGGGAAATGGATACACGTCAATAGATAAACTTGGCAACAATTTCGATAATATGCATTAGAATCGTTGGAGTATAGAAACATTTTTGTGAGATAACAAAATCGTCTTTTATTAAAACACGTTTTTGTATCATTTGGCAAGTAATTAAAGAAAGTTAGAGCAAGATAAAGATAAAAGTTTTTGAAAGATGTTAAATTTGGTTTATATACAAATTTTTAATGTAAGAAATTTTAAATCTCTAAACAATTGTTCAGAGTGTACAAATTTTGTTTTGTTGGATATTATGCGGACAAAATACTTCTGTATGGTTATTATTGGTTTAAGGTTTGAGTAATATGCTCCTCCCAACACCTCAATGCCATACTCAATTTTGAATTTATCAGGGCATAATATATAGATTTCAAAACATTATTTTACAGATTGGCTTCAACATATAAAATATACGGATGTATTTTAATAATTTTTGTCTGACTGCCTCAATATGTATTTTCCGAGATAATTTCGAGTCAACATTTAAGCCTAGATATTTTATTGATGTTACCAGTTCAATGTCCTCACATTGGCACTGTGGATCCATTTTACAATTTAACGAATGATATTTTAATGGCTCAGCAAAGCTAATGTTACAATACATATTGAAGAGTATGTACTTTGTTTTAGGACTCATGACCATAAAGTGTTTTGTGAACCACACTCTTAGCATCTTTATATCAGCTTGCATTTCTAGTCTAAGCTGCTCTAGATTTGAACTGCTGTAAAACAGTGCAGTATCGTCAGCAAACGCAACTAGTCTGCCATTTAATACACCTCCACAAAGATTATTTACATAAATAAGAAATAATGGTCCGGATAATACAGAACCCTGTGGAATTCCGTGCTTAATAATAATAATAATAATAAAAATCTTTATTTGTCATAAGGATACAGTACCTGGGGACCGAGCTTTGCTCGGGGAAAATCATTAGTCCACTCTGAAAGCAGACTGTATTGGAGACACATAGATCCATTCCCAAACTCCACACGGCTCGCCTTTACTACGTCCTACACCATTCCCTACGTCATGGACCTGTTTCCCTCCATTTCCATAGCACTTTAGGATTGTAGATACCTTAATCTAATCGTTATTAACAGTTCCCACATTCCGGACAGCTCGTATTTACTACGTCCTTCAGAATTTCCTACGTCATTGACCTGTTTCCCTCCCTTCCCATAGCATTTCAGAATTGCAGATACCTTAATCTAATCGTCATAAACAGTTCCCACACTACGGACAGCTCGCCTTGACTACTTCCTTCGCCACTTCCTACGTCGCGGACCTGTTTTCCTCCCTTTCCATAGCATTTTTGGATTGCAAATACTTAAATCAAATAATCATCAACAGTTCCAACACTCCGGCTACTCGCCTTGACTACTTCCTTAACACCTTCCTTCGTCACGGACCTGTTTCCCTCCCTTCCCATAGCATTTTAGGATTGCCCATACCCTTATCTAATCGTCATGAACAGTTCCCACCCTCCGGACAGCTCGCCTTGACTACTTCCTTCACCACTTCCTACGTCACGGACCTGTTTCCCTCCCTTCCCATAGCATTTTAGGATGCCCATACCTTTATCTAATCGTCATAAACAGTTCCCACACTCCGGACAACTCGCCTTGACTACTTCCTTAACACCTTCCTACGTCGCGGACCTGTTTTCCTTCCTTCCCATAGCATTTCAGGATTGCAGATACCTTAATCTAATCGTCATAAACAGTTCCCACACTCCGGACTACTCGCCTTGACTATTTCCTTCACCACTTCCTACGTCGTGGACCTGCTTCCCTCCCTTCCCATAGCATTTTAGGATTGCAGATACCCTGATCTTATCGTAATAAACAGTCCCCACACTCCGGACTGCTCGCCTTTACTACTTCCTTCATCACTTCCTACGTCACGGACCTGTTTCCCTCCCTTCCAATAGCATTTTAGGATTGCCCATACCCTTATCCAATCATCATAAACAGTTCCCACAATCCGGACAGCTCACCTTGACTACTTCCTTAACACCTTCCTTCGTCACGGACCTGTTTCCCTCCCTTCCCGTAGCATTTTAGGATTGCCCATACCCTTATCTAATCGTCATGAACAGTTCCCACGCTCCGGACTACTCGCATTGACTACTTCCTTCACCACTTCCTACGTCACGGACCTGTTTCCCTCCCTTCCCATAGCATTTTAGGATTGCCCATACCCTTATCTAATCGTCATAAACAGTTCCCACACTCCGGACAGCTCGTCTTGACTACTTCCTTCACCACTTCCTACGTCACGGACCTGTTTCCCTCCCTTCCCATAGCATTTTAGGATTGCCCATACCCTTATCTAATCGTCATAAACAGATCCCAGACTTCTCACTGCTACCCTTGACTACAATGTATCGAGTAATCTTCAGTATAATCTTTGCTAAATGATGTTTTTCCTTTTGTACTGTATTTGTAATTTGCTAGTATACTGTGGGTAGTTGGCTTATTATGAACACATGCTACAACTTCAAGTCTTTTGTTTACTTTTCCTTATTATTTAATTCAGCCAACAAGGTTACCTAGCAACCCATAAGACTAATGTTAAAAAAATGTGATTTTCAGTTTCATTTTTCTACGTAATTAGATTTTTGTTGGCAGTTCTAACTGCAGTAAACTCGTTTTTAGGCCAGAATTAAACTATTTACAACATTTGAAGAAAATCGTCGGAACCGTTTTCGAGATCTTTGTGCAAGCAAGCATACATACATACAAGCAAACATTGCTCGTATTAGAGTATAGGATTAGATCATCGACAAAGTCAAAATCAAAGATTTATTTGGCCAGATTTGAACAAATCGTCCAGGCTATAAGAAGGGTTGTCTAATAGCCAATTATAAAACAAGGACTTAAATTTTTCTTGCGGATAAGCATCAATATTGTGTTTTAAAAGGTTATATACCTTAGTTGATAACACTATGTGGCTCTTGCTAGTCTTACTCAGACGATGTGATTCTAACAAGGCACTATTTTTAAATCTGGTATTGTGATTATGATTATTGAATTTTAGGTGATGGGGTTTTTTTAAGATATAAAGGGCAAGATCATAAATAAACAAATTTATTACAGTTTGAATCATAAAATCCTTAAAAAGAGGCTTGCAGTGCTCGTCTGGCTCTGATCCATTCATAGCTCTGATAGCCCCCTTCTGTAGGGTTAAAATTTCATTCATTCTTCCACACCCACCCCAGAATATCAATCCATATCTCATTACAGACTGAAAATATGCAAAATAAGCCGATCTCAAATAGTTCTTTGGAATTACATCTTTGAGACGACCAAGAAGAAAAATTACTCGAGATAGTCTAGTAGACAAATAATTTATATGCTCATTCCAGGATAGTTTATTATCAATATAAAGACCCAAAAGTTTTGTAGTGACAGCACTATTTTCATTATTTAAGGCAGAATCGTGTTTCAATGTAAATTTTATTTCTTGAGTTTTACAGTCATTCAATAGAAAGCCATTGGCATGAAACCATTTGGATGCGTCTAATTTTGTGACTTGGACTAAATTTTGAAGTACAAGTTGGTTATTGTTTTCATAAAAAAAAGTTGTATCATCCGCGTACAGAATAGTTTTAGTATTTATTGCCATTGGAAGGTCATTAATGTAAATTAAAAACAGAACCCTCTTCAATATTTAGAAACCCCTGGTCTATGAACCAGGAGAACAAAGACTTCGGAATGAAGCATTGATTATAAATCAGCAATTTTTTCAAGCCATATTAGAATTTTACATTTCTGCTGCCATTATTATGTACAACTTAGATAGGTGCCTGCCACAAACCGCCATGGAATTAGTAGCGCTAGAAATATTTATATTTGTTAAAAAGAAAAAAGAAAAAAAAATGTAAATTTTGTTTGTTAAATTTTTGTGAATCAATTGGACCTTGCCAACAAGTTTTGCAAACTTGGCGAGGCCAAGATTTTGTATGATCACAAATAAATATATTTGAATTTGAATTTGAATTTGAAAGTGGGCCAAGGACTGAGCAAAGGTCTTGCTTTCAAAGGACTGATGAATTTGCCTGATGAGATTGTCAAGAGCATCAATTGTAGACATCCCTTTTCTAAATCCAAATTGGGAAACATTAAACAAGTCATTTGCCTCAAAATATTCACTGATTTGTTCATAGACTAGTATTTCAATTAATTTTCCAAGGACTGGGACAATTTAGACAGGACGATAACCCTGGGGCTCGTTTTTTGGACCCTTCTTATAGACCGGGCAAACGCGGGAAATCTTCCTTGAATCTGGAAATAATCCTTCCCTTAACAATGCATTTGTACTTATAGCAAGGGGTACATCTAAACTATGGATTATACTTTTAAGTAATTTGTTTGACATTCCATAGACATCTTTACTATTAGAATTTTTCATTTTCTTTGCTGCATTAACTATCATTTTAGGTGTTATTTCATCCCAACTAAATACAGTGTTATTTTTATTCAATTTTTCATCTGCAAAGTCCAAATAACAGCTACATGTCCTTTGGTTGTCCAGTTTTTTTTTATATCAATAATAGAGTTAATGAAGTAATTATTTATAATGTCTGAATCAATCTTTGGTGCTACTACATCACTAGATACTTTGTTTTTCTTAATTAAATCCCAAGCTGCTTTACATTTATTGCTGCTGTTTTC